CAGGGCTGCAAATGGAAGTCCCTTTTCCTGTCCTAGCTGGACTGGACATCACAACTGAACCCTAAAGACTGACAGTGGAGAAGGCAAGAAGATTGAGTCTTCTACCAGCACAGCAGGGGAAGAGGATGCCCAAATCAAACTAGCATGAAAAGCCACTAGAGTTGGCTCGGCACCTGTGGCTCAAGTGGCTAAGGCGCCACTTAGCCACATACATCTAAGGTGGTGAGTTCGAATCCAGCCTGGGCCCGCCAAACAACAATGACGGCTGCAACCAAAAAATAACCAGGTGTTGTGGTGGGCGCCTGTGGTCCCAGCTATCTGGGAGGCTGAGGCAGGAGACTCACTTGAGCCCAGGAGTTGGAGGTTGCTGTGAGCTGTGACGCCACAGCACTCTACCCTAGGGGGACAGCTTGAGGCTCTGTCACAAAAAAAAAAGCCCTCAGAGTTCAGGTGCAGGGTGTCTGTTTTGCCATTTGAAATGGCTTTAACTTAATTGTAGAGACAGAGTAATCAACTACTTAGAAAGATACAGGGGCAACTAAGACCCCTTCTAGCACTAAATGTCTTTAACTTAATAAAACAGAGACCTAGGGAAGCGGCCAACTGAGAACACACCTAACCCCTATTCCCCCTGGAAAAAAAAAAAGAAAAAAAACAAGAAAACACCCCCATCTACAGAGGAAGACTGTGTACTCCTAACTGCAGTTCCACAGCTCTTATAGGAGCTTAGCTGTGCCATGTACAGAGAGGGAGGGAATTGTGGACACCTAAACCAGACCACACGATTACTCAAGAGGGCTCCAACAGAATTATTAAACAGCTTCCCTTCGGGCTAAGAGGCCCTACGAATCTGATCTTTAAACTGCTGAAGCAACGTGAGGCAAACGGTCATATTCAAAGAAGGAAATGACTGGGATCCTGGAGCTGTGGTTTTGGACCAGCATCAGGAAGAGCTGACTTATGCATCACAAATGGACACTTACAGAAATACCTCAGACATTTGGTGCTCTTGTGCTGGGAGTTCTTTCTGCTATTTTATCAGCCTCAATGCTGGTAAAACCTACCATGTGACTTTTAAATGTCTAGATATCTGTCTAAACTTAATAATAGTCTTGGACAGATATAAAAATAAAGAATTAATGAAAGCAAGGGGAACAACTTTCCTGTCCAAGGATTATTTTGGTAAATATCATTCACCGGTACAATTTACTATCATATATCCATGAAGTGATTAATGAAGAATGTGTATATTCCTGATATATGACCAAACAAAATGCAAAAGATGAAGTTACGTGTGTACCATGATTGCAATTATTTTTACAATCCACCCATGAAAACTAAAGCACAGAAGATAAAATATAAAAATCCAAATTACTTGGTTAAGTTAATAGGATACTAAGAATTTATACTACTTTCATTCCCAAATGCTTTTACGTTAGCTTTTTTTTTTTTAAAGCAATATCTTTGTAGAAATTTAAAATCAAGCTCAAAGTAGCTACATAAAATCACAGAATTTTGGAGTTGGAAGAAACCTCAGCAATCAGATACCCTTCCTATCTTACAGGGCCTTGTGAGGGTTCTTGGCCCAAATAGCACAGCTAATTAATGATGCTGCCTTTCTTCTCTGCAGTCTCAAGTCTAAACATCTCAAAGGCCAAAAGATACTAAGATGTCACTCTGTGTGGACCTGCAGGCTTCATGCACTAAAAGGTCTGACTGCCTGGAATGTCTTGTAGCTCTGTGTTCCAGTGTGGACAGGCCACTTAGCTGACACAGTTTTACATCGTTACACCTTCAATAAAATGTTTTTGAAATTCTCTTGCCTAACTCAAGTAAGGTGTTTCTCAAGTATGAATGGCTGTATAACAAGTGATTGCCCCCAAGGAAGCCAATAAAACAATTAATTCCTCCTTTCCTCCCTACTGCCCCAGGTGAAGCCAACCTCTTCCAGCCTCTCTACGCCAGATCTGGACATAAGCAATCTGCTAAATCTGCGTTTCCAACACTATGAGCTGGGAGTAAATGCTGTCCTGTACGAAATCATAATGAAAAGAGCACCATTCTCTGCAATGCTGGTTTCCCCTCCTCTCCTCTGTAAGAGTCTGAAATTAAGCATCAAAAAGTAGGCATCAGCCAGAGGAATTTGGGTGGGGGGCTGTGGGGAGGGGTGAGAAAGTTGAATTTCAAGGTAGGAAAAAAATATAAGGCCAGACCAAATCCCCCCATTCTCCTTGGAGATGCAGGGTGAGGAAGAGGAGGAAAGTTGGGGAAAAGATAGAGAAACACCAGAAAGAGCAACACAATAAATGGCCATTAAAATGTACGGAAGTAATGGGAAAAAATCTGCTACATCAAAGATCTAAAATCACACACCAATCAGCTTTGTGCTGAAAGGTCTGAAAGAATAGAGAAGCAAGAACAAAATCAACTAACATACATTTAAGTTGCTGCTGCAATAAAATGCCTCTAATGATTCCCACAGTGACTTCAAAGTCTCCAGGGAAGGTAAGAGAGGCCAGACTGCTCTCAGAGATGAAGGGGCCGCCTTCTTTAGTATGATGACAATGCAGGGCTAAATCCCAAGAGATCACAGGAGAAAGGAAAAACGACCTCATGCACTTGAAGATCAAAAGCAGCCTGTGTCCTCTGAGCACCCATGCTGTAGTGCGGAGACAAGACTGACAGAAAGAGCCAGGAAGAGGGAAGCCAAGACCAAGAGGCATCTAAGGACAGGACGAGGTCTGCAAATCAAAGACTGCTGCCTGCCGTGGGGTGCAGCGGAGATAAACCTGGCCGGAAGCATGGCATATGCTATGGGGGTGAGAAGAGTCAGGCTCATGTCACTGCCCCAGCTCCACTAAGCAGGGAGCAGGAGCTATTCAGTCAGTGACAGGCACACTTTTTCTAGAGGAACCACTCTGAAAAAGGAAGCAAATTACTTGAACTATCCCCATCCTTCTTCCAGCACCCTGTGGATTCAAGAGTTGGACCCTCAGGGTTGACTCTGTAAACACTGTACAGGCTGAAGCTGTCTCCTTTACTTCGAGCTGATTTGTCCATAATCTAAGTGTTGGGAGTTGCTGGCACAAGACAGCATTGGAGTCTAGAGCCATTAAGGCCATTTACTGGAAAACAGAATGTATCGTGTCCTTTTCAGTTGCTCTGGGAACAGCAGTTGGCTTCAGATAATCTTGGGCCCTGGATTAGCTGCTGTATGGGCTGTTTCTATAGCCGGATCTAGGAGAGGGCCTGGAGGCCTGACTGTGAGCAAGTGCTAGACAGCATGCACATCCTTCATGTCTGATACATTCAATACTGAATAAAATAAAAACCATCACACAGATCTATCTTACTCCAAAGATAGAAGCTCAAATTGAATAATTTAAGAAAATTTCCAGGGAAGTCTCAACATAATAAAGAAGTTCTTATCCCAAAAGAAAACCTAAAAAACCCTAAAAAAAAAAAAAAAAAAGAAAGAAAGAAAAGAAAAAGAGCCGAATAGAGTACATAAAAGAGAAATCTATACGCATTTCAATTTGAAAAGCAAATTGCCTAGAATTTAAATTAGACATTATAGACCAATTTGTTCAGAGGTTCTCCAGCCTACCAACACATAGAAGTTGCAGGAAATAGAAAAGAGAATTTACTTTCTTTTTTTATTTACTCCAATTTTCAACCCACAGCAAATAGGGTACTGTACTATTTTAACTCACACCCCTTGGCACAGGGTTAGGAGAAGGAGAGTAAAATACCCAATGATAAAGCTAACACCTAGTAAGCAGTAGAAATTTTCTACATATATTTAGTAAGACCTACACCTAAAAGTGCCTAGAATAGTATTATACAGGCTCAAAATGAAATATAAGGAATAGGCTGCCATGCTAGAAAAATGCTATTTGAAAAATAAGCAAACATGCGCCCTTGTGACAGGTACGGATTAAAAGGCTGTCGTTCTGGTTTTTACCTTACTTTCAATGGGATATTAGTTGTATGTGTTCACTCTGAATTGTGACCCTCTTTACAGCACATCACATCGTATAAACTACTGTTAGAGTACACGTATAAATAATTCATGTTACCACCTGGACGTCCTCGACTCAGAAAGTGATAAGACGTGGCAGTTTTCTGCACACCCAGCAGAGGAAGCTTCACTATAACACACACACTCGCTCATGCACACCCTGGGGTAGAAAACAAACAAGGCAATGAACTTGTTCTCTACTCACATGTCAGGCAGACGAGCACCGTGCGCACAAACAGGTCTACCACTAACCCGCAGCGCTGGGGCACGCGGGACACAAAGAAAGGAATGATGATCTCAGCCGGGACGTAGAACTGGAGTGCGTAGGTGAAAAAGATCCCGATGGAGTACAGCAGCTTCACTGACTGGTACAACCTGCCGAAAGAGCCAGGATACTTTCAAAGGCTGCTCGGCGCACCTATACATCACCAGGGAGAGTGCTAAACGGTCCCACGGCAACTGGGTGACACCTACCAAACGCACCTGTCCTTTGGACCCAGCAATTTCACACCTAGGAATTTATATTTCAGATGTGCTTATATACGTACACAAAAGCTTACATTCAAAATGTTTCCTTGCAGCACGATTTAAGAAGGCAAGACGGAAGACAACTTAAATATCAACCAGTGGGGAACTGGGTATCCCCATGTAGCTGTTAAAACATACAAGGCAGAACTGCAGGCCTTGGAGGATGAGGAACTGTCTCCATGTATACTATTAAGTGAAAAAGGCACAAGGCAATTGCGTCTACAGAGTGCTACAATTTGTCTAAAGAAAGAAAAAAGATGGGAAAAACACTCCTTTACATAGACATATGACAATCTTACAAACACTAAGTATCTCAGAAGGAAACAAGAAATTTAGGAATATGGTTGTCTCTGAAATGGAAAATTCTTAAAGTGGGGACTAAGGATTGGGGTAAGACAAGGGGTTAATGTTCTCTGTCTACCTTTTGGAGTCTTTGCATATCGGCATATATCTTTTAAAAATAAAAACAAAACATAAAAAGTCTATTTATATCCTTCCCATCCAATTCAGCACTTCCTACAATCGGATAATGACCAGGCAGATCCAAGAGGCGGGAATGGAATCCATCTTTCCTCTTTACCAAGGCTACCTTCTGCTCCCTGCACAGTTTCCCAGGGAGACTGTTAACTCACCCTGGGATTTCCCTATCTTAACACCCCAGTAGAGAAGAGGTCTGTGATCAGTAAGCGCTTTTACCTCTGACTTGGTCATTAAAGGGACTCCTAAGTAAAACTCCACTTCAAACCAGACCCTTAACCAGAAGTGTCAGGCAACAAGAACCACCTGGCCTGCCTACTGAGACTCTACTGACATGCAGTAATGCACTGTGTGTATAATGGGCACTGTTCCTGTACGGTTCAACTTAACACCCAGAAGATGTTCTTATGCTATAAGCAGGAGAGCATCCTTAGCAAGACATAGTTTGGTCTTACTTGCTCAGGGATAGACAATAAAAACTCCTTGGAAAAATCAGCTGGTGGCGCTATCATTAAACCTGGAGCAGCCCCAACACCCTCTGGAGTACTATGAAGTCTGAAATTGGGAAAACGGTATCTGCAGGGACAGCCCAATACAAATGCACCTGCAGGGACAGCCCAATACAAATGCACCTG